CTCTCCTCTCCTCTCTTCTCCTCTCCTCTCCTCTCTTCTCCTTTCCTCCATCCCTCAGCCTGAAATGCATTCAGCTTCTGTCTACCATTTTAAAACATCCTAGTACCAAAAACTATTACCTGGTGATATACATTTTATGCAGGGTTCTATATATACTTATACACTACTTCTTTTCTAGAAAGCTTGGAGATGTCCTGCCACCACCACAAAACAAAGGTGTCCAATAACACTAATACGGAATAAAGGAATTAGGACTAAAGAAAATATGCTAAACTTTAGCTGCTCTGATTAAAGGAGTCCACTTCCTGTCTCCTTCTCTCTCCTCTCTCTCCCTTTCTCTCTATATGTGTACCTTCCTTGAAGAAATGTCTGCTCAAATTCTTAGCCTTTTTTTTAAACTGGCTTATTTGTTTTCTCACTGACTTTTAAAGTGTCCTTGTTAACAAATTCTATTATATCTGCTATTTTAGGATTTTTTTTGGTGATTGATTTATCCCACCATGATGGGTCATATTTTCTCATTTTTCTGAATGTCTGGCAATTTTTAATTGAGTATGAAATGCTGGGAATTTGACCTTGTTGAGTACCACCTATTCATTCCTTTAAAAAAAATATTCATGAACTTTGTTTCAAGATGGAATTATTTGGCTGCAATATGATCCTTCAAGTCTCGCTTTTAGGCTAACAGAGCCAGGGCCACAGTCTGTTGATGGCTAACGTGGCTCCCTTAGTAAGACAGAGCCTCTACCTCTGGCCTGGCTTTCCACACAGGCTAGCAGGAACTTGCACTCTCCTACCTTACATGAGTACTGAGGATTCTTCCCCCTGCAATTTGTGGCTCACTCTTCTGCCTCTCACAGCTTCCTGGCACACACATGCTGATCACCCATAACTCTGGATTCTCCAGGGTCACCACTCTGTGTATTTCCATAACACCAGCTACATTGGCCCCTCCACATTCCCAGCTCTGCCCTGACTTCCCCAAGCCACAAGCACCTCAGACCACTTCCTGCCAAGCAGAGTGAGCATTCTCCAGGTTTCAAGGGGAGCACTCACAGGACTCAGGGGTCACTCTCCCACACTGCCAGTGTCTTTTGTCTGACTACCGCAGTTCCATGGACTTTCCAGAATTTTTGTTTTCTCATTGCTTCAGATGGAAAGAAAAATCCTCTCTCATTACACTGTTTTGGCCAGAAGCACAGTCTGCATTGATTTTTTTAGGTACACATCTTTTTTTTTATTTTACTGATTGTTTTAGGTATTACAACATAGATCTTTAAGTTATTGCAGTTAACCTCCAAGTAAAATATATTTTCAAGAGAAAATTAAAGAAACTTCCTACTATATGGGGCTATTCACCCTTCTGCTTTTTGTGTTTTCACTGCCTCATATGTTTTCCTCTGCATATGCTATTCCACAATATATTATTAATATATTAAACTGCTGATAGTCATTAAAGCATTTCAAGATGCTAACAAAGTAAGGACCTTTATGTCTGATTAAAAATTTACCTTTTTGAAAAAAATTACCTTGTCATACTCTTTACACTTTCCTTTATGTCTGGAATTTTTTCTGGTCTAATTTCTTCAGTCTGAGGACATTTTTATCTTTTTTTATTTGAGATTAACTTTTTTTAAAGGTATGGGGATAAAAAGCCTATGTTGCTTCATTTTGAAGGACATTGCTACTAGATATAGAAGTCTCGGTTGACAGCTTTTCTGGTCAACACTTCACAATTACTATTCCATTTATTTTGTCTCTATTGTCTCTGATGAGAAGATATCTGTTATACTTCTCATTATACTTTGTGTTCTTGCTGTTCTCGTGTCCTTTGACTTCATTTAGGATTTTCTCTTTACCTTTGATTTCACATGTTTTCGTGCCATGTCTAGCTGTGTTCCCTTTCCAACACTGTGACAAAATAGCTGAGAATGACAGCTTAGAAAAGAAAAGGCTTATTTTGGCTCATAGTTTCAGGGGCTTCAGTGCATGGTAAGCCAGCTCCATTACTTTTGGTGAGCCTGTTTTGAGGTCGAACATAATGGTGGAATGCCACGATGGAGGAAAGCTGATTACCCTGTGGCAGCCAGGAATCAGAGAGAGATAGAGAGAAAGGGAGGAGAGGAGAGAGGAAGGGAGAGGAGGAGAGGGAGGGGAAGGAAGAGGAAGGGAGGGAGGGGAAGGGAGAGGAGGGGAGAGGAGGGGAGGAGAGGGGAAGGGAGGAGAGGAGAGACAAGGAAAGAGAGAGCGACTGGGAAAGAGAGAGAGACAGAGACAGAAAGAGAGAGAAAGGAGAGGGATCAGGAAAGAGAGACCAGGGACAATATTTACCCTTCAAATGCATGCCCTCAATGACCTATTTCCTCCAATCACCCTCCACCTCCTAAATATCTATTCTACTACCAGCTCGTCAATAGATTAATCCTTTAATAACATTGGTTCCCGCATGACCCAATCACCTATCTAGGCCCCACCTTGGAATACTGTAGCTCAGGCCCTCAATCTATGAGTCTTTGGGGGATGCTTCATTTTAAACAGTAACACTAGGATAGTTTTCTTTGTGTTTATCTTGTTTGTGGTTGAATTTTTTTTGTTTGTTTGTTTGTTTGTTTGTTTGTTTTTTCTGGTACAGGGAATTGAACTCACAACCTCGTGCTTGTCAGGCAGTGTGGTTGACTTTTTGGAACCGTGGCTCAATGCTTTTCCCAAGTTTGAAAAAGTCTTAGCCATTTTGCTTTTCAATATTACTTCTGCACTATTCTTTTTCTTCTGCTCCCGAGACTGCAAAGATATGTTTCTTAGAACTTTTAATATTGTCCCACAGATTTCAGATGATTGATTCCTTTGTTTTTTAAAATTATTATCTTCAAGTCTCACTGTGGTTACTTTTTATTGATCTGTCTTCAAGTTCATTGATCCTTTCTCCTGTTGTTTCTATTTTGTTTTTAAGGCCCTGAATCCTTTGTTTCTGATGTTGTGTTTCTCAAGCCTAGGAATTCCATTTAGTTTAAAAAGCAGGGTTTTTATAAAAAATTTTTCAGTAGCCATTTAGCTTTCAAAGTTAGCTGCATACTCTTTCCACTGAGTTCTTTAGCACTCTTACCCTAGATAAAAGACCCAATCTGACATTAAACCTTATGGGCTATCCTGAGTTCTGCTTTTGTTGGCTGTTTCTTCTCTTGTCAATAAGTCACATTTTATTGATTTTTCATGTATCTCATAATTTGTAGTCTTATGGCAGATACTTTGGTATTTTTGTTTTTTTAAATTTTTTTGTTTTTTATGGCAAATATTTTGTATGACAGTAAAGACTAAAGCAAACTATTTGCTTCCAGAAAAGAACACTTTTCTTTTTCTCTCTTTTTTAGAATGAAGGCCCATATTAATCTCATCTTTTATTGATATCTATCTAATCATCATTGTTGCTTTAGTTTCATTTGTTTCACTACCTGTAGGCTTTAGTTATTTATTTATTTACAGAGTATTTAAGACTATGTCTTCAGTCAGACTTATTTTGTGGAACTTCCAAATTCTGGAGATGTTTTCATGAACACAACTGAGATGAGAGTTTTCAAACTGTGGGAAAACTCTCTCTCCAGTCCCTTGTTATTGTGGCTTATAGGTTTATTCTGCCATACTGACCTGCCTCAGCCTTCTGAGGGTAGCTTCACTCCATTCTTAAACTGAAAATGCTGGTGTTTCTTCCAGATGTCCTACACCCACTCCAGCCCTTGGTGCCTGAGAACCAGTAGCACCTCTGGTGAATGTACTGTAGCCTTCTTATGGTAACCAGCTCTCTCCCTTGGTGTTCTTGTCTTGGGGTGACAAAGATGGAAGCAACAGGATGACAGAAGACAACAAGCACTGGGGAATGGGCTGGGAGTGGTTTATTAGAAAGAACAAAAAGAAAAGTTCCTGCTGTCAGGAGAAGCTCCAAAAGACAAATACCATAGACATTTAAATCCAGAGACTGATACAAGTTTTGCCATGAGAATAGTGTAGGGGAACATTTTCCACTGCCAGGGTTTTGATGTCCAGCAAGCAGGTTGTGGTATTTCTTTGTTCTCTGCATCCCAGCCCTCAAAGGCTTCTTCTAGTTTATTCAGGGACTTCTCCTGAAAAACAGAACAGATTTTCACTTCCATGTGATCATTTCTCAGTTGCATTTTGGTCTTTCTCTGGACCCTAACTTAAAGCAGTTCTGGGATAGGTAGAGCCAGGTAGGATTGATTTATCTAGAAATCTTAATTGCATAAACCACATCCATGTGGCACTTCTGTACAGTTTCAATTGCACTTATTATTAAATCCTCAAATCATGTAGTAAAGAGTGAACATTCAAAAAAACAGTTCCTTAATATTCAAACTTGTCCTTTATGCTCAAATTTCCCATGGCTTATTGTTAGCTCATTCAGGGGGCCTAAAGGAGATTTTCATGCATGAGGTCCCAAAGTTAAAAAGAATGTACATATGCAAGACATCAGCAACAACAGCAGGCAGCATGGAGCAGAGCACAAGAGCATGAGAGCTAGATCCACCTGCGTCTTTATTTTATAATCCTTACACAAGTTGTTATCTCACGTTTACATTCTTACATAATGCAGTAACCAGCACATGTGTGTTTACCTGTGCTAAGTCATGGTTACATAACTGTATTGCACTGTGCCCTTGTGCTAGACAAGCAGGGTCACGTCTTCAGGTGTCCTTAGATGCCCCGAGCTTTGAAGCAGTCCAAGTGGTCCTCTACACTTATCTTTAGCTCATTTAGGTCCTGCTTTTAGTTTACTCAGTTTACTCAGTGAGTTACTCAGCCCCTTGCCCTATGTGCCTATCTTTTCTTATCTCCTGCTCTCATTACTTTGCTCCTCTGCTCTGGCCACCTGGGCAATATCTCTGGTGCACCTGGACTGCCCCACTCTGCTGGCTCTGTGCACTCAGCAAAGACCTGCTGGAAAGATGCAGCAGATGACTGTAGCTCACCTGTGCCTGGGATTCCTCAGGATTCCTTTCTGTCATGCCAGCCTGTGCCCTAGAATCTTGTTAAAATCCCATCCTTATCCCAAATTGTGGTGTATTTTTAGTCTTCCCAGAACTCTTCCAGGTGTGTGAACAGCTGAGAATCTCTTTTCTCTTATGAAGGATTTGCTATTTTCTAGAATTTAGTTCATTTAGGTTTCTTTGTGTCTTCAACTGATATAATTTAAAAAATAAATGGTTTGATCTTTTTATTGAAGTAAGAGCAGCAATTTCTACATCCTAAACACAAGAGAAGACATGTGTGCTTTTTAAAAACTTCTTGATTTATTCAGCATGCCTGGTAACTTCAGCAATTACAATATTGCAGGGAAATTCCCTAGAAGATGTTCCATAATAGCTTTCATGTGATTAAACAGAACAGTTTTTCACTTCCATGTGATCATTTCTCAGTTGCATTTTGGTCTTTCTCTGGACCCTAACTTAAAGCAGTTCTGGGATAGGTAGAGCCAGGTAGGATTGATTTATCAAGAAATCTTAATTGCATAAACCACATCCATGTGGCACTTCTGTACAATTTCAATTGCACTTATTATTAAATCCTCAAATCATGTAGTAAAGAGTGAACATTCAAAAAAACAGTTCCTTGATATTCAAACTACACCTAAAGTTCAATAAAAAAGGAAAAAATTCGCATAAAATAAAGCAAATTACCTGATTTACATTACTCACTGACCCATACTCTGTACACATTATTTCACCTAACCTTTAGCTCTGCCATACATTCTTGTTATGTTCTGAGGAATATAGCACTAAAGTTTCAAGTCTGTCGATGGGAGCTCAGCTCCTCTGAAACCCAAGCTAACACTTGGTTCTTTTTCTCTTCCCACCTGTCCTGGTTACTTTTCTCTCATTGCTGAGACAAAATACCTGACACCCAAAATTAAGGAAGGAAAGGCTTATTTAGCTCACAGTTTGTAGAGGTTCCAGAATCAGCTGGCTCCAAGGCAGAGTGGCACATGGCAGAGGGGCAGCTGTTTGTGGTGGTGGAAGACAGCAAATGCAATAGGAGCAGAAATGGGGGAGAGGAAGCTTGTTTTCCTCCATAATATGCAGGCTACCCGCCTACACAATGTCTGTGCCCTCCTTGCACAGGCTCAGGATGTTTACAGCCCCTGCTGAATCACTTCAATAAGCTTCTAAACTTCTCAATTCTCAGATTGACACAATGTATCAAACATTACATCACCCACTACCTTGTCTCTCATAATGTCTTTCCCTGCCTGAGAAAATGAAGGAACACTGGTCTCTAGAAACCCTGCTCTTACATAGCAGGGACATATCTCTTCTCAGCTATAACCACAATTCCAAAGTCTGCATCAAGAGAGAAAGGAGACACATGTTGACATCCAGGATAATAATAGCTTTGTTGAATAAAATGTTCTGCCTTTACAAGAACATTAATGCACTCAAGTAAATCAAAGCACTACAGTATTAACATTCCAATACTATGTATTTTTAAAATCACTTTGGAAAAAGGTTCTGAGAACAGTGCATGTGCCACATGTAGTTCTCTTTCTTTAGCAGAAGTTTCCAGTCTTATTTAGACAACCAGGATGAATCCTTTGCACCAGAAATGAAGTTAAACTACCAGTTCCTGAATTAATTGCAAGCTTCTTACATCATGTTATGTTGGCATTTAGATCATGTTATGAGGTGATGCTGGGGTATTTGTAGAAAACAGAATTTTAAAAATAATATTTAATAAAGTTTTAAGTGACTACAGAACCCTTCACTTTCTCTAAATAAATGCATTCTCTAATTACCACAGTATCTATGAAAAGACTTGTTTAAAGTTACCATGTTGGGAGTTTTAAATTTACATCTTCCAATTGTTGATGTTTCTTTCACACATTTAAATGTGAGTAAATTGATTTCCATCAAAAGATTGCCAGTTTGAATGCTTGCTGACCCTCATTTATACAGACACCAGAAAAAAGTGAGCTCAGAGGGGACTGAAGGAGTGCAAATCTGAGAGCGAAGGGAGACGTGGAGTCCACACGAGTTGCAGGGAACTGTTGCCCAGCAACCCACACAGGGGAGCCCCTCATCCAAACATCCAGAGACCCTTCCTAACCCTCCCATGATTCCAGAGGTATTTTGTAGTCATTACTATTGGGAAATATTTGTTTCTACCAAGTTGCTGTTCAACTTTCTTGGTTCCTGTAATAAAAGTTGTGCAATCTGTCATGCTTCCTCTTTGTTTTAACTCTTATGAAGCTCAGTATTAAATTATACAGAAAGCTCACCAGCATGTCAAGTACTGCCTGACACACACACAAGTACATGTACATTATGTATCGAAATGTGTACATGCACACAAATATGTATATTGAAATATATGTGTGCATATATTTATATATAAATATATATAAACAGCTAGTAAGCCCATCAAAAGACGTTCAACAAAGTAAGGAAATTTACATCAAAATTACAATGATAATCACTTCAAACTTACTAAGATGGCTGTAATCTTGGGACAAAGATGGCAAATAGCAAGGAAAAGTGTGGAGAACCCACATGTGCCAGTGGTAGAAACATAATAGCTCAGCAATTTTGGAAAACAGTTTAATAGTTCCTGAATAAGTTAACCACTGAATTGTCATATGAGTTATTGATTCTATGCCAAGACCTACAATCAAGGGAACTAAGATACATGTCCACACACTCAAAAAAGTGTATATTAATGTTCACAGCAATATTGTATATAATAGCAAAAAATGGAAACAACTGGTCATCAACTGATGAGTGGATTTTGAAAAGCACATATTCATTCAATGAAATATTACATGGCCATAAATAGGAATAAAATGCATACTGATATGTGCTATAACATGCATGAACCTTGAAAACATTATGCTGGGTGAAAGTAGCAAAATCCAAAAGGCCACATATTACATACTCCATCTATATGAAATACCCAGGATGGGCAAATCTAGACATTGAAAGTAGGTTAGTATTGCTAGGGGAAGGAGGAAGGGGTAATATGTAGTGAGTTTTAATGAGAACAGAAATTCCTTTTTGGAATTTAATTCCAGACCAAAAGTTCTGGAATTAAATAGTAATGATGGCTGCAAACCTTATGAGTATATTCAAAACCACTTAATTATAATTTTAAAATGTGAATTTTATCTCAGTTTAAAAGCAAATAATCAAAAACATACCCACATGTGTCTTCACACTTAATGGCGAAACATGCATTCTTTTCATCTTAGATCAAAGGAGCAAAATGTTATTGAAATAAATGAAAGAAGACTTAGATGGATAATGCTCATATATTTAAACACTGAGTATTGTTCAGATGTACTGTACATTGTCTGCAAATTGGACTAAATGTCCAGTGCAAGCCCTATCAAGGTTCTGGCAGACTTTTTTAATAGAAACTGATTAGATGGAGCTAGGCATTTAGCTCAGTAGCACAGTGCCACCCAGGCAAGCATAAGGTCCTGAGTTTGATTCCTGGTAACCCCCCCCAAAAAGGAAAGAAATTGATTAGATGATTAAATAAATTGTGTGAAACAAAAGACCAGAATAGCCAATATAACCTTGAAATGCAAAGCACAAATAGAATTTGTAGTACCTGATTTTTATACCCTACTGTAAAACCAAAGTAATTAAGATGACAGATCTTCAATTTCAGCCATCCTCAATGAAAACTTTTCCCTGACATTATAAGAAGGGAACAGAGTATAAAGCAAACTTTCCTAAATGGATCACTAGGATGAGTCATCTTTTGGGTCTTTCCCAGGAAAGGAGTGGGGGATAGGGGAACTCCGATAAAGGACGCACCTGGCTGCTGAGCTTTCTTGTCCATCCATTAAACAAACACTTATTGAACTTTTTTTCTGAGTGATGTTTTTGTATGAGGAAAAATACAAGAAAGTAGCAGCGAAGTAATTTAGGCATGTGGTACCATCACTGTGCACATTTTTCATCCTTGTAACAACTTCACACGGTAAGCATTACTGTCCCCATTTTACAGAAGAAGCTGTATCTCACAGAGCATAAGCGCTGTCATTCAAGGCTGAACCAGTACAGATGTGGGGCATGGAGTCAAATCCAGCTCCTAAATCTTTGCTTTTTCCACCAAACCATACTACCTCCCACGTCTGAGCAGGACAAGTGGATACAGGAAAATACAACACAGTCTGATAAATGACAGTGGGACTGAGTGTCTTTGAGATGGACTCTGCCTGGGGGAGCCTGGGAGCCTTGTGGGAGAGATGACACTGGAATCTAGTACCCTTCATCATTAGGGGCTCCCAGCCAGAGTCCACACAGGGCTCACATGGGGGCTGGAACACAGATTGACAACTATACAGAGAGTGCCAAGGAGTTAGAATGGTCTCAAATACTACAAGATTTGTAGGATGTTTAATTTCTAGATAGGAAGAAGGCCATTTTGAGACAAGACTGAGGGATTCTGAGTGTGTGGAGCTAAGGAGTAATAATGTAATTTGGTGAACAATAGTGAGTTATTGAAATGCTTGAATAATGGCTAGGGAAAGACAGAGCTGCGGTTCAGGTGTTTTCTTTTTCTGTTTTCTCTGGAGGGGTTGTTTGTTGTTGTGTTGTGTTGTGTTTGTAACTTTTACTGACATATAATCTACATGGAGAAAAGTCTGCTAGTCTTAAGTGTACACCTCAAAAAGTGGTCACGGGGGGCTGGGGATTTAGCTCAATGTCACAGCGCCTGCCTGGAAAGTGCAAGGTCATGAGTTTGATTCCCAGTACCAGAAAAAAAAGTGGTCACAAATTGAGCACCGGAATGCAAACCACTTCCAGCCCAAGGGAAACTCCATCGCCAGCCTCCTTCTCAACACATTCTACCAAGGGGACTCTCTGCTAACTTCCCACACTACGCCTTCTTTTCATCTGCCTTAACTTCAGATAAATGGAAGCATTTCATGTGTGTTCTTCTGTGTCTGGCTCCTGGCTTTTTCTTTCAGTGCTATATTTATTTCAATGTTATATCTTCTCAACTATTATATTTCAATGTCATATTTTTCATTGTTATATCCAATATTTGTTATATTGGAACACAGTCAACCCTGTGTTCCACACTGTTTGTCTACCTTTACTGTTCTATTATACTTCATGATATATAAAAACCACATCTGTTTACCCATTCTTTAGTCAATAGGTCACATGGCTAGTTTCCACTTTGAGATTATTACAAATACTGTGGCTGCAAACACACTGTCCATGTCTTCTGGGGAACTGTTGTCAGCAATGATGTCAGCTATCTGTGTAGGACTGGAATCTGGGAGGTCAGTGGCCGCTTGGCTTTAGTCAAAATGACTGAATAAGTGCCTATACCAGTTCCATGCTCTTCATCATAGGTAACCTACAGATGGCCAAAGAACCAGGAAAGTGGTGGGCTACAGCGAGGGATTCTGAGGGCCCTGAGCAACCACCATGGGATGTGGAGAGGAAATGGTTGGCTGTGGGGCTCTGAACCCTGGGTGAAGAGTTGGCTAGATCTAGTTATTAGTAGCAAGATGACAGAGGCTGTGGCGGGGTCAGATGGGGCCCACTGAGGACAGCGAGAGGGATAAGGAGTGAAGAGGGTTGAGAATAAGACCTAGTGGTCAGGAGGAAGGCAGGGATCAAGCAGGAGCAAGAGGAGGCTAAGAAGTGCCGTCCTTGCCCAAAAGGAGCAGGGACTCATGTGGGAGAACTGGACTTACCCTGTGGTCTTTGGAAATTGAGTGGGTATTTAAAGAGATCAATTATGTTTCCTGAAATTTGAACAAAACTTCCTGCAGCCTGGGCACTTACTCTAGCTTCGTCACTAATTCCCTTGGTTCTCCCTGCACATTTGGTATCAGAAAGGACTATCCGTGAGTTCGGTTCCCGGTACCAGAGAAAAACCAAAAAAAAAAAAAAAGAGAGAAAGGACTATCCGTAAAGAATGAATAGCTTTTGGCACTATTCCTTTTAAAAATAATT